ACCGAATAAACCGAATGCTCACCCCTACTTTTACCCAACACCTACAGAAATGTGTCATGCCCAGGAACATTCTCAACAGTCTTGGCTGTAGGGGGGGCCAACAGCCAAGGTTTTTCCAGATAGCTGGAACCAGCATTGGGTAAAGCATTTTTTTAATAATAAGAATGATGCACTATTGTAAGTAAGATCATGATCTTGGTCAATACCTTGTAAACTTCATGATTAGCAATTATCCTTTTGGCAACAGAAGAAGTAGTAATATCTTTAGGGCTTTCAATCATACGAAAAATTCCCATGCTCTTGGGAGCTGCATATGGATCAGCATCATCCTATATACAAAATCAACATCACTGCTAAATTTATAAACTGGAGAAAAGAAATTGGTCCACACTAAACAAACTAAAGTATTTACTTACATTTAAAAAGTTGGTGCTTTCAGCAACTGTCCCATGCACAACCAAGGAGATATTGAATGTAATTATCTGCTCAAGCCCAGAAAATTAACATCAGCACCAACCTCACTTTAGAATGATTAATGATAAATCATGTTCTTAGCACATGTATAAGAAGCTACCAAGGGAGCATGTCAACAGAAAAGGGTTTTAGAGGAAAAGGTCTATCCTATAGGATATATCAATAAAAGAAAAAGAGCCTCGCTTTTTACAGAACTTGAGGCTTAAGTTAGTTATGATGAGAGGAATTGATTTGGGCAAATGAAAAAGGTTAAATGATGGGTGGCTTCAGTTTTCTCGAGAGCCACAAATCCAAGACATATAATGGTATAGAAATCTACATACCATGTCCTTTGTAACTTCCCAAGGGGAGCCTATGATAACTTCATCAACATATCGGCATGCCAGCACACTAAGACTACGTTCATGAAGGTCCATGATTGGATACTGAGTTCCTCTATGCTCACTGCAGTGGAAAACAATACTAAGAATTCTTCTTTCTTCCACAAGTTATGAAATATAACCTCCATACAGCAGCATCCAGACCAAACCAAAGATTGCTGACTGGTATTGGAAATAATTTGGAAATAATATTTCCTTCTGATCCATGAAGAATGGCAGACACCAAATATGATAATGAACAAAAAACCAACCTGACAGTTTCGTCGCTGTGAATACCAACAAGGAGAAAATCTCCAAACTGCCTAGCACTCTTTAATATCTGAACATGACAAGAAAGAGCAGCTCAGCCCATAAAAAGAATCAAATAATAGATGGGGGAAATTATGACAGTATCTAATGAATCATTATGGTTAAAGTAAAGAAAAGTCATGAATGTTACACACTGATACTAGGACACTTAAACCAATCTCTGTATCCACAATAACTTATGCAGGTTTTTCCTTTGACAATGTTACTTCCATGTATTCAGTAAAATTTGGGACAGGATGTCTATATCCATATTTCCAAAAAATCAGTACAGGACCGTGTAAAACTCTTAAATTCGTATTTGAGCCTATAACATCAGATGTATTCACTAGAATATTATTAGCATGTGCCTATCTTCCATATAGAGGGGTTCCTCTGTATAACCACTAAAATAATAGATTTAACACTCTACCCAATAAAAAAAAAACACTGAAAATTTGAGCAGGAAAGAAGGAAAAACTATCTCACAAATATATGACATCCTTGACAAATAGACATGATTGGGGGAGAAGACAAAAACCCAAATATAAATGGATGGATCAGTATGTCGTCTCTTGACTGCCCAACACTCTTCTCCACACAACATAGATGGCCTTACAATTGTTTTATAGAATTTTCCTTTTAATCTAAGTGGTGTTCACCTATCACATAAAAGTCTAGACGCACCCCCCTCCATTTTGCCCATCCCACTCTAATTCTTCGGGTGACATCCTCCTCAATCTTTCCCTTGTTATAAATTATTGAACTAAGGTACCAAAAATGGTCACGATGAGTTATCTCTTTGTCCCCAATCCAAAGTGTATCTTGATTTACACTCCTATTATTACTAAATTTACATGTCATATGCTCTGTTTTAGTGCTACTAATTTTAAAACATCTTGTTTCTAAAGATGGGTGATTCATGTGGGGCTGAAGTCTAGCATTTATTTAGGGCTCAATTGTGCATCAGCCTTTGACTTCAACAAGCCGGTTGAAAGAATATTTGGGCATACAATTAGGTTAATAAGAATAGCTAGACCACATCTTGCTTTGAGGTCTTTACTGATTTTCTATGGTAAAACGAATAAGGAAATTTTTATCAAAAGCATGATCAAAGAAAATTTATTGATGACTTCAAATATCAGAAAGGGTCCTGATGCAGGAGCTGAAGAGTCAAAATTGGAATTTTATGAAACTTTTTGATCTATGATTCATTGGAACAAAACAAGAACCGCAAGCATTCTTTGATTGGGTTGCTGAGCTAGAAGAATATTTTGATTGGCATGACATATTTGACAAACAAAGGATTAGATTTGCACGCATGAAGTTGACGGGCCATGCTAAAGTATGGTGGAGAACTCTTGAGCAACAACTAGAAAATAGAGGTGATGATCCAATTAATACATGGGCAGAGATGAAAGGTGTTTACAAGAAAAGTACATCTCACTAGACTTCCATGATGATCTATATATGGAGTTGACTAATTYCGAGCAAAAGAAGAAGCAGTAGGTTACAACAAAGAACTTGAAGTCAATGGGAAGAAGGTACAAAGTTGAAAAGAAAGTATGATTCCTTGCAAGTTGATGCCTATCCTAGAGCTGAAGTTGAGGATGAAGCTAAAGAAGAAGAATTTCAAGCTATAGAAGTTCTAGATATTAAAAATCAAGAGGTCAAGAAAAAAATAGAAATTACTAGAGTTTCCAACACCCATGATCAGCTTGAGGTTAATAATCAAGAAGAAATAGAAGCAGAACAAGTTAAAGAAATTCAAGTGCAAGATACAAATGTGCTGATTGTAGTAGATCCCAATAAGAAAGAAAGTGACTTGACCTTTCAAGTTCAACTAGAACTAATTCAAGAATTACAACCTAACATAGCACAAATTCCACCAACATCAACAATGGAAGGAGTCCTTCAGTTTGTTGAAGAACTAAGGATAGCATAACACATAGAGATGGTGATTCTAGACGTTGAAGGAAAAGTACCAAATGTTGCAGTTAAGGGTTTGGATACGTGAGGGGAAGATTCATCACAATGGTTGGTTGATAAATTAAGTGTTCAAGAAACTAATTGTTTGCTGGAAAACAGCAGCCGAAGAAGGAGAAGAAGAAGAAGAAGAAGAAGAGAAGAAGATTTGAGAATGGCGGCTTCTACACTTCAGCCGGCCCTACAATCTTATATAGATGTTTACAAAGTAATGTTACATGAATGGACTAGAATGCCCTTGATTAGTGATGGGACACCTAGACAAAAAAAAAAATAAAACAAGTTTAGGCCCAATAACTAAGAACTTAAGACACAAATATGACTAACATAAACACTAAACCAGCCAAACCAACACTCCCCCTCAAGCTAAGCATGGATGTCAGTCATGTTTAGTTTGC